CTAGTTTTTACTCATTCTCATCTTATTACAGAGATGTTAACTACTTTGGTCATAAAAATTCACCTTTTGCTTTTTCTGTTACAATACTAAAAAAATGGGAACAATTTCTAAACAACATTTCTATTCATATAGCTATATTTACATATCTGTATAAAGAAGCTAAAAATGCTAATTACCTACTCATACTACCTTGTAAAATGTAATATTTGACTTAAAAACAGACTCTACCAAGCTATCATCAATAGTAGTACTGCTATTAGTATGATTACTTATTAAACTGTTAAAGAATTAGAACTTAAAATTAAACAAGCCTTTACTAGCCTAATCATTATAACTACTAATACTTTTAATTAATCTTTAGGAATTATTAAGAACCTTTCTATAAAAATAGAAGGAATAACTATCTCAATCATCATTAAAGTCATATATAATTGCAAGATTTGCTTCATCTGAATCCTAAGTAATATAAATAACAGTAGTATCATCATCTTCTTAAATAAGATTCCAATTTTGATCAGACTTAGAAGAACCAGTTTCTAGCACATTATCATTGTCTTTTGATGTTCAAAAATTAGAACTATTTGTATCATGAATAGTAACTGAATCTGTAGGAAGCCAACTATAAAGACAATAATATAATAAAAAGAAATTAGCTTAGAATTAATAAAAAAATAGATAACAAGAAACAGAAAATGTTTATTACATTAACATTTTGTATTAACTGTTAAGTTGTTTCAATGTAATGCAAACTTAGGAGTGCTCAAAAGGCAGACCTTTTTATAACAAAATCTAAAAATGAGTATTTCTAATCAAAAAAAAATTGTTAAAGAATAATAATATCTAGAATTATATTACTATTTCGATATTTAATATTGCCTTAAAAAACTATTATGAATGCTCTTCATTATTGGTTTAAATATTTTTTTTCACAACAGTAATGAAGACAAAAGTTGTTGAACAAAGAATTATCTGATCATTTAGTTAATACATGAGTAATATTTACAAGTCTATTTTTTTCTATTAGGTAACTCTGTTCAGCTGTAAGTTCCAAATACTGAATCTATTTTGCTAAAATTAAATTTTGTTAATTATTTAGATCTTAACAATTTTAAAGATAGTGAAGATTCTATGTCTTAGTAATGTATGAATTTTAATAATGCTATTGATAAAGAATGTTTATTCTTTTCATTTATAGCCTTTTTATTTCCCATTCATGCTTTTTCTTATCTCAAGATTGTATATAATAATGATAAAGGTTTTTACATAATGATAATATTTAAAAATCAAATATAAGGATTAATTAGAGAAGTAACACAAATTACATGCCTTGACTAAAAAACTCTAATGCTTTTTGAATAACTAATAATCTTATTACATAGTCATAGAATAGCATGAACTTGGTTTAAAAAATTTAATATTAATTTTGAATATATCAATCTTTATCTAGATTGAATGATCTCAAATCTAAATTTTGTGCACTTATTGTAAAGTTGTGTTCAGTTGGAATTCTTGTACATATACTCACTAACTATAAATACACATCACTCTGGTTATATTGACAGCTAGATTAACTGATAATTAGTTATATCGACTCTTTTTATAAAAAATATTCTAATATATAAAAAAAGATTTGGTTATATTGATAATTATAAAAATAACTAGATATACTAACATAATGATCTTTTTTATATTTTTAGTTATTTAAGTTAATTATTTATATTGATTATAATAACACAACTTAATATACTGACTATCATTATAAGTATGCACTAATTAAATTACTTATTTTTTATATTGTTTATCTAAATATTTGATCATTTGCTAATGCATTTTTTGTGTATTCTTCGATACTAATTGAAAAGCTTGTTAATAAAGTAACAGAGTAATCATTATTGCAAGATTAGAGGACTTTAGATTATGTGCATTTAGCCATTTATAGTTTAGTAGTAATTAGTCTAGTTTTATACAAGTTTTTGTAATATAATAGCATATAATTGCTAAAAGCAGTATTATTGTTATCAATAATTTGTAATAAGTAATAATTAGTCAAAAATAAGAAGTATGGATTGCCTATGTAAGTATAATGCATATTTTTGATCAGTACATTAGTTATTTAAAGAATTTGGATTAGTTAGTAGAATTATCTTTCTTTTCACTATCACTTACTTTATATTAAGACTGGCTCTATTTCTCTTCTATTATTTTTTAGTCATATTTGTTTTTTAAGTAGTTGTAATTATTCTTTTAGTGAGTAAGCTCTGTTTTTAGTAATTGAATAGAGGCTTCAAGGCTGTTTTAACAATACAAGGGCCTTTTAATTAGGCCTTACAGCTGCTTCAGTAGTGCAAGAACCTTTAAGTTAGGCTTCACAGCTAATTTGGCAGTGCAAAGATCTTTAAATTAGGCTTTATAGCTGCTTTGGCAGTGCAAAGATCTTATAATTAGGCTTTAAGGCTGCAGTGGCAGTGCAAAGATCTGTACATATATAGAGCTTTTTATGTTATTTTTTTTAGCACAATATTACAATTAGTTACCCAACTCTTTTTTTTACTATAAAAGTTTTTTATAATAGTTTACATGCATTTTACAGTTAGTACAACTATTGTTGTCTTTGTCTGATTATGTTAAGGCAAACCTTGAGATGACAAACCTATTCTCCATATATTTTTTCATTAAATTAGTAATAAAGATTAAGTCTCTGATTAAGCAATAATAATAGTTAATTTAAAAGATCAAAATAAGTTGCTATTTTAGATATTTAATTAGTTTTAATCTATCACTAATTATTTTATTATTACATTGTTATGCATTAATAAAAAGTACTAACTATATGCAAACTAGCATAATACTAATTATATTAAATCAGTAAACTCTTTAATGTTAATATATTCCTAGGATTATACTAAATTTAGAAGGTTATTAAATGATTATTTAAGTATAATCATAAAGATAAAAATGTTTATAGTTATAAATACCTCTGGTAAAAAAGTTTTATATAATAAATACTATACAATTTATATAATAAGAACACAATTTTTATAAATAAAAATAGCTAAATACTAAATTGTAAAATATACCTTTGTAATATAAAAATCCTTAATAAAATAATTGCTAATTACAAGTAGCTTTATATTAGATTCAAATTCATATAAATTATAATCCAATAACTTATTTATAAAAGAAACTTGATACTATTAAAGGTACAGAAAAAAAATAGTTAATAAAGCAAGCTTATCACTATAATTAAACAAGAATCTAATTCAGAATTATTAATCTTATAAATTCTTGCCTAAATTCTAGTTATATCTTTAATGAATTGCCTTGTATATGTATTAGTAGAGTATATATATATTATAAGTTATTTTCTGGTTTTGTTAATTTTTTTTTATAAAACAATATAACAATATGTCTAATAATGAAACTAGTTTTACAAAATGTAAACCTAAAGAAAAAGTCAATTTTCAGTTATCTAAAAAACTCCAAAAACTTTTAACTGGCAAGCAAAAGAAAGAATTATGCCAGTTAGCTAAAAATAATCTCAATTTTACTCAACAGAAATTAGCAAATAAATTTGGTAGTATTGGGTAGTCAACTATTGCAAAAATTCTTTCACAAACATTATATTGGCTTGAATTAAATAAAGAAAGTTCTATAGTACAACAAAAACATAACTGACTATCTGATTATTTATAATTAGAATAAGCTTTTGCTTATTAGTTTGATCTTGTACTAGAAAATAATATAACAATAATTGGTTTAATTTTGCAAAAAAAAGTTAAACAAATTGCAGTAGCTTTGGAAATTAAAAAATTTAATGCATCTGATGGCTAGTTACAAGGTTTTTTTATTTTTAACTCCAAAATTAGAAGTACTATAAAGCATACATTAATATTACTTTTTTTATACAGGTTTTAAAAAATAACATCATATAGTTTATAATGTAAAAGTTGAAGAAGCAGCTAGTGCATCTATTAATAAATTACTTGAGTTTCAACAGTCTTTGCAATTAGAGTTAATAAATTATAATCTAGAAGATATTTACAATTGTAATAAAACAGCTCTTTATTGGCTTTTAGAACTATCAAAGTCTCTTATACATAGTTGTGTAACAGGTATTAAAAAACTAAAAAATTATATTATAGTAATAATTGTATATAATGTACTTGGAAATAAATTACTACTAGTTATTATTTATAAATATCAAAATTCACATGCATTAAAGAAATAAAAAAAGAAACCTTATCTGTTCAATATTATTAAAATAAAAAAACTTAGATGCAAACTTCAATTTGGCTTAATTAGTTATCTAAATTAGACCATCAAATGTGACTTGCTCATCAAAAAATTTTATTATACAGTTCCGAACAGCATAAGATATCCACTATTTTTTTAAGTGCCAAATTTAGAGTAAGGACAATATAAAACATTCACTTTTTATTAAAGATGCCAAATTTAAATAAGAACAGCATAAGACATCTAATTTAAATTATAAGGTGTACCAAATTTAAATAAGAATGACATAAGGCATCTAATTTATAATTATAAGGTGCATTAAATTTACTAATTTAGCTAGTTTATTATTAAAAATTACATATGTATGTAATTAACTTGCTTTTAATAAATCGGGTAAAATTTACCCAAATTTATTTCGATTATTTCATGATATTTGTTAAAATTATATTCATATCTAACTAATATTTTCAATCATGTATTTCATCTTTATAAAGCACTTTAAATATTCGCAATTAATTTTTACTCGATTTTCTTTCATTCTTTATTTGACTTATAATTTAATTTGCATAAGTGCTGCAAAGAAAAAACCTGCAAATTTTATAAAATTTGCAGATTTTTTCTTTATGGCACTTATTTATGCAAGTTTCAAGTTTCTTAATAAATTTCGTGCAATATTAATAAGCCAGGTTTATTAATGAATTTCAGTCTTATTACATAAGGCTATTTTAAGCAAAAAAAAACAAAAAAATGCTTTTTCGCTCTCTAATTTAAATTGCATCAACATGGTTCATGATGTTTTCATTTATTGTTCGATGCTTCTTATGTCTTCTCACTGCATATTCAGCAGCTTTTCCCATCAAGCCATGTCGATAAGCATCCATCTATCTAAATGACAATCTAGCAAATGAACAGATTTGTTCAAGTAAAATAGAATTAAAAGCCTTAATAATTGTTTGTCTAAGCATTAGAAAAGAATATTTACAATTGTCCTGTATATACTTTTTGGCAGCCCTCCAATACATTTCAATATGGTTAAATTCGAGATGAAACTTGGGATAAAATATGATCTAAAAAATTTTTAAATAAGGAATAAGATAGCCAACAATAAAAAAAAAAATAAATTAGCAAATAAATAAAATAAATAAATAAAAAAGGATTACTTTATAATCACGAGATTCGATTTTTTGCTGAACTTGACTGCATTGTGCAAGAAAATCAGGTTGATTAGCTATCAGACAGTGTATACAACAATTGGTAATATTAGGGTTTGGCTCCTTTTTGCATGAAGCACATTCTAAGATCATTTCTTCTTGCCATAGTCCTCTTTCATGCAAAACCCACTTGAGCCCTTTTGGCTAACTACATAAATTGATATTCAACTTTGTCTTATTATCATAAATAATGTAATCTTCTTCAATTACCATTGATTGATGGTTTTCATTCCATAAGTATCCTGCATTTTCGAAACTGATCCACTTGGAAAAAGGTTTATTTTTGAAGACAAAAGGGCATTCTCAGCAAAAGCTGTATAAGCAGTGGCATTGTCGAAAGCAAAAAGACCTGTAAACAAAAATAAGATATAAATATTTATAAAATGTTTTTAAATTACTTTTATTAAATAAAATGTTTTTAAATTACTTTTATTAAATAAAATTTCTTATTTAATCTATTTTCTATTCTACCTACACATCCTGGATGTGTTCTTTCAAAAATATCTATTGCCTGTCTAACTTGAATAATAAGCTTTTTTGCATCACAATACCCATCATGATGTGACCCTAATATCATCATTGCATGTGCCTCTTCAAGATCATCCCTAAGTGGTCTGATCATTTTCATTAAAAAATCACTAACATGTATATCAAGACCTATTCCTTTCTTCCTTAATGGTTGCTTCTTTTCTGAGCCCTACATTGTACGTAGTCTATTATTAACATGAAAGGTGGATTTGTTATAGGTTACTCAAATAGGTTCCTTTTCTCTATCAGCTAATAGCAGGTAAGTTCTAATTTTACAATCTTTATCGTACCATTTGGACATAAGCTGTTCATATTCACTAACTTTCTAAAGGAAGACTTGGCGATAGGCAACCACATCTGGTCATTTGTGACCATCAATGTAAACACCTTTTGAATAACATTTATAGTAGAAACCAAGTTTATATAACCATTGGTGGGCCATTTAAAGAGAGATCTGTTGTACTGATTCGATATCCAATTGTGAGATAATTTGTTACAGAATCACAAGATCAGATCTAATAACCAAATTAATAAGAAAGCTGTGATCTGATTGGTTGATCGATTATTGTGCAAAATATCATAAATATAACATATATAATATTTATGCATTTTGGAGCATATATATTTCATATTATATTTAGTTTATATATATTATTTAGT